CTATTATCCGAACAGATGATGGTAAAACTGACAGAGAAAGCTGGTTACGATTAGATGGCGCTCGGAAATGGAGATAACTAGCAGGTTCACGCTAGTTGAGTGGTAAAATCCTTTGGAATCAATTATTTTCAACTTTGCAAAATTTACGCATTCCTATGTCAACACCACTGAACAGAAAATGGCATCTATTGTCTTCAGAATTTTATCACGTTTGTCATCATCAGCAAGAAATCGATTCAATGAAAGTTAAAAGTACTGTATAAGTCTGGGAACAAAGGGTTTATCTAAACACTTATCATTAAATCTTTGCTGTGAGCGATTATTTGCTTAAAATGATAGCATATAGTATCCCCCACCCATTTGAAAGCAACTGAAACACAGGACTTAACGTAAGTCAAATAATACAGTTGAGTTTAAGTATCAATTCTGGATGTCCCATTTACTGCGACATGATCCTCTTGTTATGATGTGAGATAAATTGGAGTGATTACAGATTGATGTTGCGTGAATAAAATCACTAACGAATTATACTTTATGGCATAAATAAAACAATAAATGTCTACTGAAATTAAACAATGAATAAATAGCAATCGAAAAAGAAACCAAACCGAATCCAGTGAAAGCAGTGGCAAAAGTGGAATCAGATTCCTCACAAAAGCTATGAGATGCTGGTGTGAAATTTCCAGACGTCGAACAAGGTATTCTGGCAGACCACTCGGTACCTACGAGATAGCAAGGACGGCAGTCTAAGAATCATAAAGGACAAGTCTGGCCGCTCTCTTTTCAAGGATGAGTACACTTTGGCGATGGAGGGCGTACTTCGACAGCCTCATAACCCTAAGCAACCACGAGATAACTCACCTGAAGAACAGCAGACAAGAGATATTAATTTTTCAGTCGATGAGGTCGCAAAAACTGTGTACAGCTTGATAAGTGAGGAAGCTTTTGGTAATTATGAAATACGCTCTGAAATGTTTTGGGGTTTAGGTGACAAAGGCATGTTTTTGCTAACACATATCTTTCAAATAGCAATGGCTACGGGGAACGCACCAGTAGACTGGAGAACGGGCGTGGTGGTACCAGTGTTCGAGAAGGCAGACCATTGGGAACGCTTCATTCATCAAGGCATTACTGTATTGAGCCTTCCGGGAAAGGTCCCCATAAAAATGTGCGGAAGGAGGTGCCGCGGAATAACTGACTTTAATATACAAAAAGGGCGGTGTGGTTTTAGATCAGACCGAAGTATCTCTGTCCAGATCTTTGCCTACCGGAAGATTATAAAAAAATTCTGGAAGTTTGCCCATTTGGTTTATATGTTCTTGTGGACCTATGGCCGGCTATCTTACAACATGCAAGGGCGTGCCTACAAACATATGGGATCGATGACCAGTTGTTACGAGCTATCCAGTCACTGTGTGTTGCTATGAGATGCTGCATCACAGTAAATGGCCTTAGTTCACACCTTTCATTTTTGGCACTGGTTTCTACCAAGGCTACGTTATGCTCGCTCTACTGTTTGTGCCTTACATGGTTGGAACAGACTGGTACAGCCAGGTCGAAGAGTGTATCAGCGTAGGAGATAGGAAGTCGAAAAGATTGATGTATACACACGATTTTGTTTTGTTTAGGACCTTCTTCTGAAACTGATCAGCAGTACTTTTTGGAACAGTTCACAGCCTAGTGCGAGGTGGCCGGCAGGAATGTTAAAGCGTTTAAAACGAGGATTCTAGTGATTTCTCGTTTTCCTGCCCTCTTTAGATAAACGGAGAAATTCACTTACCTCGTGCTTCAGAGTCGTGTTTCATGGTGAGGGAAAATTGGAGGAAAAATCGTCCGGCGAATTGGAACAGCGTTCTGCGTGAACTAGCCCAAACCGTTGTGATTAAACCAGAGCTGAGTCTGAAGACTACTCTGCCTCTGTTCAAGTCGATTTTTATCCCGTTGCTTACCCACGGTCGTGAATGGTGAACCATGGCTGATGAACTCATCCCCGGTACAAGCGGCTGAAATGAGCCTTTTGGGAAGAATCGCTGGAATCACGACTCTACACATGATCCGGAGTAAAGATGGCTGGGAGTGCCTTGGCATACCGCTGGCGGTTCTCCTGATTGAGAAGTCACAGCTGCGATGGTTTTCACGCGTTTTGCGAAAGTTTTCAGAAGGGAAAACTGAACCGCTGCAGTTTACCCAACCGACCAGCCGAAGACCCCAGCGACGGCAAAGAATAGCCTTGAGCAAGTGTACGGAAGGTCTCTGCTCCAGACTGAGGTGGTCTTCTGGCCGAAGCTCAAACGCTAGTACAGAATCGGGGACATTGGAGGTACTCTTTGCCTCCACAACTCAAAAAGATAAGCGGTCCTCGAAACTGACTGACTGACAAACCTATGAAGAAAACTGCTATATCCTACTTAACTTTTACTGTTCATACTGTAACAATGAAGCAGAGTTTGTTCAGTTTTTGCAAATGTTCC